GCTCTCTGTAAATGTTCCTTCATTAGCTGGGACTTTTTTTTGTTGACTTTCGTATCATACTGCAGAATTAGAAAGGGAAAATTATTTCTTAGAATAATAAATGGTAAAAACTTACCCAACGGTGCATTCCGCCTCTATCATTTATACGATACACCCCGTTTTTTGCCAACTCCGAGGCGTATGGGTAAATTAGGCTTGGGAAAACACCTAGGAGATGAAACTATCTCTCAAAGATCTAGAGCCGGAGCTTTTACTTCATGTTTGTGCTGCGTTCTGAACAATAGACGTCTCTGAACGACCAATAAAGCCCCTGATCACTCTAGAGTTGGGGAATTGTCAACCTACGACTAGGAGCTTCGCGTGGGCTGCTAAAACACTAACCAAAGCGTTTCGACCTGTAAGTAGTGGGTTACCCTAAGTGCTAAGCGTTCTTTCGTACAGTAATTCAGAAGCCTGACACACTAAAGATGATTCCCGCTCGTGCCACTTGATTCCCAGCCAGAAGATTCTTGCGAGAAGACTTCTTACGAGTCCATGTCTAGCCATTTGAGGCTATAAAATGCTTTCTCTAAGGATATCGATGTGGTCGAGTCGTGATTACGACTGTCTGGATAGCAGCCTAGCCAGGATGAATCGCTTTTCTTACATTCAGTCCAAATTGTCTTCGCAGGCATGTTTTGAGAAGTTCCGCGTATGCCTCCACTTTCACTACGTGCATTGTATTTGCATTTTCCACAGAAAACCTTACTATGCTACCGCCATTTTATTTCGTTCAAAACTCGCTAAATCGAACCAAATATGCTGTAGAGAGGTGTGAAGATGCCAGTCGAGTTTACACTTCTTTACTGTCTCTGAAATACTAGTTGCTTCTCTTTCTCCACTAATAATCGAAGAGAGAACTGGAGATGGTGTAGTGGCAAGTGGCGCGCTGTCACACATGGTCACTTGTTCGAATCCGTGAAAAAAGTAGAGAAGAACACCTCACACTCGGAGAGATTGGCGACCTTTGCCTTCTACTGTACTCCTTGGGGTGATGTCCCTCTCGCTTTTCATTGTTGATTATTTCATAATGGTCATCCCATACATAACCGGTTTTGTTTTTTACGCCGGGATATCTCAAAGATCCAGCAGCTGTGGTTTCATTAAAACTATGCGCAATATCTGCCCAAGCCAACCAAGCCCACCATTCCTCCGGTGTTTGTTAATTGGTACCAGGCTTGTCTAGAAGGATAAAAGCACTGACTTGAACATCTTCTGGCCACTGCAAGTCATTGTATAAGCCATATACGCATTCAATATGCTACGACGATTTTGAATGGAAGTCGAATGCGGAGCGCATCTTTCAGAAGGGGTGATTAACACCCATACATTTGTCCTTAACCATTAACTTTTAATTGAAGAGGACGAACTAGTGGTGGGACAGCTTACTTACTCCACTACTCATCCTGTTGTTAGTATTAATGTTTGATTGCGATAGTCTGTTCAGCCTTCATCCCAGAATCACCTGCTGCTTCCTAGTTTCACAGTCCATTCTGAAAAAGCCTTTTCCGTTCGAAGAATATCCACGAAATCCGTATTGCTCTGACCACTTCTGTGATTCCGTGATTAGCGTTGACTTAGAGGATCATTCAACTTAACCCCAACTTTAATTAATTATTGGAATACTTTCAGCATTTTACCAATCAGCTGATTTCAATGCAAAATCATGAACGATACATTTTATGATCTGGATTCGAATGTGACTACTATTGGTTACAAACAGTTTCTCGATAGGATCTTTTCCAATACATCACTTGGTCATCGCCTGCGTGAACGGTTTGTATCGTTGCAGTGCTTAGGATTGTCCTTGATTGCTTAGGATCTTGTTTTATCTAAATACCCTAAAAAGTTTTTTTTGGTGGTGTTTTTTTTTTAAATTTGCATTTTCAGATTGACCCTTGTCAACCTTCGTCATGTATTCTATTTGATCTCTCCATATGAAACAGCTGTAGAAACCCTTGAGGAAGTGCCAAACTATAATGTAGAGGTACTACTTTGAAAACTGTTCTACTTGATAAGCAACAATAGAAAGATGTCGGCCGAACGTAGTCTGTAAGGGTTGATGCCATTGAAAATGAAGCCATGTGCGCAAAAGCTAACAACAACGCATGCGTGCCGCGGCCGCGTCACGTTTAGTTTGACAAGCTTGGGTAAAATGATGGAACTCAAGTCAGATTAAGTTCGGTGTTTTCAGTACATTCCTTTTGCGCTCCTGCTGGGGTTAAGATATGTGGGGCCCCCATAAGGTGAGGGAGGGTGTGCAATTTCCAGGCGAGATGCAAATTTCTGGTAAGAACTTGGTGGCACAATTGCGCGATGAGCGTCACGCGATGCTTATTCCACCATAGTTTGTCTTCGTATAAAAAACTGCGCTGGTCGCCGCCGTTAGATTCCCTCAATTCTGGGTTAACATTATACTCCTCGACCGCAACATCCAAAATTCTGAGCGGAATTTGGTACAATTTACATCGTATTAATTTTCGTTATAATTAAAACTAGTACACATCGATGATTTTTCTTTAAGTAAAGAATAGGTTGGTGAGTGAGGTGTGCAGATAGTGAATGGGAAGCGCAAAGCTGTTCTGATGGAGTAGAGGTAACACATGCATCGAGATTACAAACTTTCTTCCCCATAACTGAACTCAGAGTCCTATATACCATCCATCGCTTCACATCAGTTCCAACCAGCTCATCTGTCCGAAGCCTGGCAAAAGGAGGAGATGCCTCTGCTACCATGTTCACGGAATCTTTTCGCGAATTCATAGCACAGATCCGAGATCAGCATTTGAAAACACTTACGGAGTATAGAGTTCATCAGGGAGCTTTTTCCAAATTTCATTTCTTTATAGCCTATAGTGACTCACTGCCCAAGAGGTCTTAGATTGTTCATGCTTAGGTATCAACGTGGTGGTTGGTATTCATTATTACTGAGTTCCTTATACTGCAAATATCTGGTCATCGTGAACGCTTCGCTCTCAATGACTCAATTACTTCAATATGTGCAGGAATGCTTAGCCAGTGCTTCAAGTAAGTCTACTTTGATCCAACTCAGATTTTTCAGAGTGAATTGCTTTAATGACATTTTTTGGAAATCGTACTGAATGAGATTACTTGTTTGACTGCAAAAAAGACAGAGTGATCTCTTCAGAAATTGAATCTTTACGGCCTCAACTTCTTTACGGTGTTTTATTATCGCATCCGACTCTCACTCCCGCTGTAGGTAATCGTCGACCTTTGGTTAGATCTGTCGATTGCTTTTGCCGCTCCCTAGCTCTAGTTTGTGTTGGAGTGTGCAGTAGAAGGTAGAAGGATATAGTCTTTTAGCATCAATCAGTCTCGCTTACAGGATGCGCCCTGCATTCGACTTCTATTCAGAATCGTAGTGGTTCATCGAATGGGTGTGTGGCCTAAACAATGATTTGCGGTATCCCTGTGTGATAGTGTTCCTCTTGTCACTACACCACTTCTCCTTTGATTGTATGATATGATTGGAAAATTTGAATGGTATTAGATGGATTCGTCCTCTCGCTTTCTGGGATCCCCACATAATCCTTTTTCCATATTGCTGTCTCCGTTTTCCATTTTCATTGCTCCGTTATTGTTTTATTTTCTGGTTCTTCCTTTTTGCTTCACCACCAGTTTTTTCGATTTTAATGCCTACCCATTCAATAATATTAATTTTTGAGCTGAAGATGGTCCTGCATACATTTTATAAGTTCCTGGAAATGGTTGGTGTTTTGTAGTGAAAAGAATCTCTCGTTTAATGAAAGGAAGGTCGAGAATTGTGATTCAGGCTTTAAAGTCCCTATCAGTCTGTTATCAGTGATTTTCAAAGTGCGAAGAGATAAGTTAGGTGCAGAAGGCGAAGTTTTCCTTCCAAGTATAGTATGAACACCAACCGTATCTAGGCTGTAATCAAGTTTAACGTCTTCTTTCATTGGAATGTTCGCTTCAAAATATTGGATTTGTCTCCAATTATGGTATCCTTTCTACTCATTCCGCTGAACTGATATCTCGCCTTCTAGAAGAGGAATGATCCCTGCAATACAGTACCCTATCAGACCAGTTCCCTTCAGTGGAATTTCTCTAATTTATTACCTTTGTTTCCATCGTCTGGCTGTTCGATCGCGAAATCCCTACATCCGTGAAGAAGTTTTCGAGAACTGGAGAGCGATCAGGCTTTTTGAGAGCTATTTATGTATCTTGATCATTTGTTTCTTCTGCGTGGGATGCAAGATCATCTGCAAAGCAAAAACCTTCAAGCAAGTCGTTGTTTGTATCCTGAATGTAAGCCTCTTTCAAATTTCCCAACAAGTTACTATCTTCATCTTTCTAGAGAGATCTGGTAACGTTTGACTGAAATTCGAAAAGTGAAAAGTGCTTTGGAATTAGGCCACCTAACTTTGGGCACTGTCCCATCCCTGCCTCCCCTCTTCCCTCCCTAAAACCACAAGAATATTCTTATGCCAAGTCTACGTATAATCCTTCCCAGCATAGTCCGGATTTGCAGACTGGACTCGCGTTTCATCATTTCGTTTTGTTT